ATGCCCTCCCACCCCTGGATCCCTGGATCCCTGCTCCCTGCCGGTCTGGTCACCCTTAACCACCTCTGCTTCAGCCCCCGCCACCATGGCTTTGTCCGGAAGGATGTCTGGAAGACATCTGGTCTAATTAGCATATTATCCTTTTATTAGTATAGATGTTTACTTTGAATTTATATTAGTTCACACAAACACTCCATCCATGCTTTTGTTCCGGCCCTCCAGTCCAGTTTAAGAACCCATTGTGGCCCTCGAGTCAAAAAGTTTGCCCACCCCTGGAGTATTTTCTGTGTGCCATAATCTCCTTACAGTAACACCTGAGGCAGGTAGTGTCAGTGTCTCCCTCTCTGCAAAAGAGGAAGTTGTAGCATAAGAGGTCAGACATCCTGTTCATGATCACGCAGCTGGGAGCAGTGGACTCAGGTGACAGTCTGAGTCCACAGTGTTACCTCACTACACCATACCTGCCTACTAATAAATTGTCAATAACTTGATATGAATTCTGGCATTGTCACTTGATAATGGCTTTTAAGGTTTGTTTTCTTCTAATTACTGTTATTTGTTCAGAGGACATTTTGCTGAGTTGCTGAGCTACTGGCAGTTTGTGGGCAAAGACAAAAGCACGATGGCAGCCGAGTACTTCGATTCACTGAAGCAGTATGAGAAAAACTGTGAGGGCGAGGAGAACATGATGTGCTTAGCAGATCTCTATGAAACCCTGGGGCGCTTCCTCAAGGACCTGGGCCTGCTCAGTCAGGTAACTGTAGCAGGAATCAGAGCCAGGGTGGGTTTTTCCTGTTTACTCGGCTCTCCCTGCAGGAATTAATGCAGCTTTTATTTGCTGTGCTAATCAGATGGTAGATCTTACACTTTCCTACTTTTCACTCACTTCAGTTGGCCTTTAATATCTTTTCCCCAGGCCGTGGTACCTTTGCAGAGGTCACTAGAAATTCGAGAAACAGCTTTGGATCCAGATCACCCGAGAGTAGCTCAGTCCCTTCACCAGTTGGCAAGTGTGTATGTGCAGTGGAAGAAGTTTGGCAACGCAGAGCAACTGTACAAACAGGCATTAGAAATCTCTGAAAATGCCTATGGCGCAGACCATCCACATATTGCTCGTGAACTTGAGGCACTTGCAACTTTGTACCAGAAACAAAATAAGTAAGATTGAGATCACTAATACTCTGGTTTTATGGTGGGGAGTTACAGTTCTAAATGTACTCATGTGGTAAGCTTTCTTTTGTGGCGGGGTACCTTTCCTTATCCTATATCTTTTTAATGCATCATATTCAAATACTATTTGTTGGTCTGCGTCTTCATGAGGTAAACAAAAAATTAGAACCGTAAGATCCATTTCTATCTGAAGATGAGTAGAGAATAGAGCATGGGGTTTGTAGTCACATAGTTGGGTCGGAATCTGGGCTCCCTCACTGACTGGCTTTGTAATACGGAGTGAATTACTAACACAAGGGCTAAGAACCGCGGTCCCTGGCCAAGTCCAGGTGGCCTCCTGCTTTGTAAACAAGGTTTTATGGGAACCCAGCTGCATTGTTTTCATTTACATATTGTCTGTGGTTGCCTCCTTGCTTCAGCGGTAGAGTTCATTCAGTTTTTGAGACAGAGACTGCATGGCGCACAAGGCCTAAAATACTACCTCGCCCTTTATAGACAAAGTTTGCTGGTCAGTGGTATAATAAAAAGTATCTATGAGATACCCACTGAATGGCTCCTTTTCCTCCATCAGAAATCATTTATTTTGCTCCATCATAACTGATACATATTGGAATATTTTTAACTTTAAGAAATCTTGTTCACACAAATTTTGGATGAATTTTACATTTATCTTTGACCAAACGTTAGCCTCTATAGGAGAAGGTGATATAGCAAGCTAAAATTTTAGATTTTTCATTTAGATATGTTGTCCTTTAAAGATCCAAAGTGAATTATATCAGTTAAAAATCTGTTAAATGTCCATTACTTGGAGTATTAGGTCTGTTTTGTTAGATTTTTTTTTTTATGAAGGGTTGTGTTAAAGATTTGTAATTCCATGTAACAGTGCTGGTTTTAAGAGCCAGAAATAGCTTTACACTAGGTAAGGAGGGCTTTCATTTCACTGAAATATGTTACTTTGGACATGTTTCTTATGTTTGACTTTTTTTTTTTTTAAAGATATGAACAAGCTGAACATTTTAGGAAAAAATCCTTTAAGATTCGTCAAAAAGCTACAAGGAGAAAAGGCAACTTGGTAATGAGAGATTTCTTTTGTTTTGTGTTTTTAACAAAGAGGAAGAGAGCATCTCTGACTATCATAATATAAATGCATAAACCTCACAAGTTTTAAGAACTTTATATTTTAAGTGACTTCTAGAAAAGTACTGATTAATATTTTTATTTATTTATAATGTGTTTAAATATTACTATTACTGAGAGGTACAACTTAGTAGACTCTTAAAAGTAGAATTATATATTGTGTTAATCATTTTGCAGTTTATATGTACATCAAATCATCACACTGTACACCTTAAGCTTACACAGTGTGGTCTGTCAATTATATCTCGAAATTTAAAAATTTTTTAAGTGAAACCTAGTTCATTTGAAGGTTAGACTCTGGATGTAGACTTGAAAGCTGCTTCAATTCTTTTCTTTAAAAGGTTGGAAAAGGGAGTAAAAGTAAATTAGTTAACATTTTATGTTGGATTCAAATGCAAAGAAATTCTTACCCTTGAGAACAAAAAAATTATTTTCACATTTCTAAGCTACTCATAAAATCTAAAGAGTTTATTTGTTTTAACTTAATATGTCATGTGCAATTTTTAACTGAAATGTATTTGACATATAGTACAATATAAATTTAAGGTGTACAATATATTGATTTGATACATTTGTATATTGTAATATGATTGCCATTGAAATGATAGTTAGCACCTCCACCACATCACATAATTATCATTTTTTGTGGGAATAATTATGATCTAGGTTTCTTAGCAAGTTTGATGATTATAATATAGTATTGTTGTCTATATTCATTATACTGTACATTTGATCTCCAAGACTTATTTGTCTACTAGTTGCGAGTGCTACATGCAATTTAAATACTTGACGTTTAAATGGTTAGCAGTGAGATTGGTAAATATCTGCAAGTTAATTCTGTTTCCTGTCCTTTTGC